ACKWYWTTATGTACAATGGAAAAGCACKGGCCTTTATCTTAATTTTTAAGCATTGCYAAGCTGCTGAATTTTTTTAATTTCAAATGCTTGAATGCTTCAAATGCTAGCAGTGCTTTAATTTTTTAAGTATTGCTAAGCTGCTGAAATTTAKGGGCTGCTCCTCTGTTTTGCATGTTTTTCCATGGACAACTGCACTCTCATATGGAAAGATAACTTTACAATAGAAAGAGTCATGTTTAAAATTAATCTTTTCTCAGGATTTTAAACAYACTAGTGAGCAAAATTTCTAACATCATAATGCTAAGCTCCATTCAAATACAAAGAGATTGCACCAAATGATAAAAATCATTCAGCTGAGAAGCAGCAGAAAGATAGATAATTCTAACTTCATATGAAACACTCAAGAAAGCGTTTGGTTTAAATTGTAGGCTATAAAAACTGTTTAAAGAAACCGAGAAGCACATGGAGCAAGCCYACGTACCAACTGCTTCTTAGCAAAGCTCAGCTCCTACATTTCACTATTTACATAATAATATAATAGATATTTTGTTAAGATACAACAATTTAAATTTTTCTTCTTTTAAGATTTTCAGSAAATGCAAGCTTCTGACTTTAACAAAATGGAAGAAATTTAACAGATTAAATTGATAATTTTTTCAAAGAGAGCAAAGAAGTATTTTARAAATATGCTCGGGTCATGAAAGTTTTTTTCCTCTGTTGCTTCCTTAATAAAGTTATTTGAGAATAGGTTAGCAAACATCTACAAATTCCGTTSAACTGGAAAAATGGAATATAACAAGAATTAACAGGACAAGAAGCCTTCATTTCTAAGTACTGTTGACCATAATATTTGTCTAAGGGATTTCATTTACTTATTTCAAAAATAATTTCAGTCAGAGACTAATTCTGACTGAAGTATTCAGAAGCAAATATTTCATTTTTCATACTTGTTRTTCAAAATTGCACAGTCACTGACACAGATGTAAATAAACTAAATCACATTTAATTGTGTGTTACAATAAGCTTTTTTCAGGATGTAATGCAATAATAAAAAAATATACATTTAACATAGGTGCTTCTTCCTCTAATCACTTTTAACACACTTCCATAATTTYACAGAAGTGACAAACTGATTAGATGGTATTAAAAGAATCTCTATGATATCTTTCAAACAGGAATATGCAGTAGCATAGAGGATTCCAGCCAAGAACTGCAATTCAGTTTAAAATAACACAGCCTGAAATTCRCTATAACTAAAACTGGTCTCACCTTTTTCTTCAGGCCTCAAAGAAATGAATTTCTTCTCTCCAATTGGCAATTCAGGCTTTGGAGCTGAATAAAAAACAAACCATAGACATTTCTTAAACAGCTTTAATTATCTTAGTCACTACCTAAAAATAGCAAACACTAATTTGTGTTTATATTTTTTCACTTCCAAGGAGTGCAACACTATGTATAAACACTCATTTAAGGTCGGGAAACTGCAGGTCTGTATTTAAAGGATTACAAAGGAGTTTCCAATCTAATTTGGAAAAACATATAACAGAAGTAAAAATACCTAAAGCATAAAAAGTAACTTGAAACAGTGATTAAGCACAGCTGCACTACTAGGAAATTCACAGCTTTTATTTTAAGTCATGAACTGTTTCTGAAATCCATAGTTTCCTCGTACACTTACTAGTATGAGTATCTTACATACCTGGACCTTTAACCGGAGGTGGAGGTTTCTTTGGCTTCTGGAAGAAAAATAAAAATTATGTTCTCGGTATAASGCAGACTTGCTTGCTTTTTACTTTATATCTTGCAATGTTTAACTTGTTTACTGGTTGGTAACAAAGTATTTTTCCAAGGATGCAATCAATTTACAGACTGGAAACAAAGAACTAAAGTAATTCACCTGATATCTCCCAGACAGTCAGCTGTAAACACAGGGACATGACACAAATTTCTTCAAATCTCATACCAGTGCTTAAGTAAAATGCATAAGCAGTAGAGGTATGGAAAACTAAAAACTAAGAATGTCTTTTCTAGTCCAACTAAAACACTCTAAATTTAAAAGAGTAATCAGATCAAATCTGCATCTTTGCTGAACAGAGGGTGAAGACTGAAGACTACAAGAATTGTTTCTATTTATGAAGTTCCAAATCACAATGTTGTAAGACAAAATAAATAAATAAGGAAAAGAGAGGGAAAAAAAAAAAAAAGGGTGGTGAAGGCAGTGTTTGAAACCTACTGTGCAACSGTATGAAAATTGTTCCAAGTTTTTTTTATCAGCCTAAGTTGAGAAAGATGCACAAGTTGCTTGGGTCATTAAGAAATTTCAGATGACCAAGCCACAATTTGTACATCAGAATTAGTCTTGGCAGAACAGGCAGGCATCACTCTCCTTGAACTAGTGAAACGCTTTGACTCTGCTGCCTCTGTGGAAGGGCTCCTGGATCCAGTTAATGAAAACACATTAGTAGAACTGTTTGGTTGTACTAAGGACAAGAGTCACCAACAAGACGATCAAAGGAGTCTACTAAGCTCRCTGTGTAAACACTGCTGCAAGTTTTATGGGGCCAGTCTGAAAAACCACCTCTAAAAACTCCTGGGTAATGGGTATTTTGGAACAGTTGCTATGGATGTGGATTTTACTTTTGTGCTATTAAGGTGATTGAATAAGGTATTCTTAATGTGGAAAGGTTTTACTCTGACCAAAGTGAAAACTCTCGTTAAATTTCTTTCCCTAGCCCCAGAACGTACAAAAGCCAGTAAACATAACTAACAAAACAATCATTTCTTTCTTTTCTGGAAAAAAAGAGTCAAATTTTTAAGCAACAAACATGCTCAGCTGTTTTGACACAGTGCTGCTGCCTAAATCAAAACAATTTGTTCAACATGAGCCTTGCAGTTCATTGTGRCCAGTTTGACTTTTTTAATCTTCTTGCTACCAAGTGAAGATTAACCTGCACACACACTGCAAACTACTGGCAGGTTTTAACATGGAAAAATTCCCAGTAGTTTCACAAGAGTCATTCAACGTTTGCAATGATGGCTAATTACCGGATCAAGGATAGAAGAGACCTAATACACATCTCCTTTCAAACCAGGATGGATTTAATTCATTAATTTCAGTTAGAAATGCCATGATTTCTTTTTAATGTAGCATGAGAACTGTAAGACCTAATCAGCCCCGTTAATAGCAGCTAATCTGGAAGAGCCCATTTCAGTTAAATATTAAAGGAGAAATTTTACACAAACGTTAAGCTTCAAATCTTCTCAGACATAAATAATTGAAGATAAAATTAAAGTCAGCCAGAATCACATGAATAAGTAGCATAATGTATTGTAAATTCTTTCACTCCCTCCATTTCTATTAGTACTTTTTTGTAGTTAAAAATACACAGAACTTACAGGGAAGTCTTTATCAGACTCTTGGATTTGAACAGCAAAATTATCTGGGAAGACTCCTTCTTTACCATTAAGTTCTCCTTTCCACCATCCTGGTTCTCCATCCTAAGACAAACAGTACAGAGCATTCAATGGTTAGTCTTTTAAAGAACAGACACAGCTGGAGAAACAAAGCCTTCRTTTTTTCCTCTCAATATAAAATATTTGTTCATACAGAATCCTGCATTTTGTAAGAAGAACGTTTTGGATACTTTAGCAAGAGAAGTAAGGGGAAAAACAGCTACCAGGCAAACCAGGTTTGGTTTCTAGCATGATTTATTAGATCCACGGTATTGAAAAAGGTGAAGAAACAACAGGATGTACCATCCTACTGGTAAAAAAAGGCAATTTAAGATGTAAGGGGAAAAAAGAAAATAGGTGGCATATATTTCTATTACATGAACTTGCTGAACAGAAGCCTTAATTTGCTCAGTCTTTTCTCTAATAAAACCACCTGCACCAAAGTACTAAGTTATTCAAGTATTTTAGAAGCACAATAGCTTTCCTCCCTGCTTTAACTACAAAGTACTATAAATATCACTCCTTCATGCAAAGGCTGAAGGAATCTCTATTTATAAGGGACTGCTTTTACTAGCAAAAATTAGTTATTTCCAGAGTTTAGCACATACCAGAGCCAATCACCATTCAGTTCTAGAAATGCTGAGGTACAAGGAGGAGAAAAAAAAAAAAAAAAACACACAATAAAATACAGTGGTATTAAAATAAACAAATAAATAAATAAAAATCATACCATCCATTAAGGGAGGAAGCCCTACCTACTTTTTAAAGTTTCTTTTTCTATCAGTCTTTCAATTAGATATTTCAGAGGCCAGCTCCTGAACAACTGCAGCCATAAACTGAGTACGGTGTCTCTTGCTAAACTTAATTTTGACAGGGCTAAGCTATACTAGAATGCCAGAGAAAAATCAGACAGCTCCACAAAATCATCATATGCAGAAGAAAACAAAGGAAAAAAATGAGACCTACACTTTCTCTTCCTAAGTCATTATGACTGGGGTGTAAAGTTCTTCAAGAGCAAAGGAAAAACAAATTCTAAAMAAATTTCTTTTATACAAGCTTATATTTTTATCTCTATGCTATAGACAGAAAAATATGCTTTTCTGGAAAGAGTGACAAGAAACCTGATGTCTTATTTCTCCCTAAGCCCTGCTTAGCTAACAGACTGCAGGAGCAGTGATACTCAATGCTGTATTGTTAAATATTAAATATATTTTTTTTTTCAAAAAGATACTATTTTCTGTATTTGTAGGTAATCAATCCCCTCTAGCTGAACCTGAGCAACTTTCCCRGACTGGAAATGTCTTAAGGGATACTAGGATTTCAACTGACTAGAGAAGTCAAAAAATGACCTCACGAGTCAAAAATAATCTCTATGAATGTTCATCCCAAAAGAGTCTCCTAYTCTAACATTTATGCTTCACCTCCTCATACAAAATCTGCAAAAGCTGTAAATTATTAGAGCAGCCTGAGCCTCTTACCTTGCTGATTGTTTGAATAATCTCTCCTTCTTTAAAAYTGAGTTCATCATTGGAGCCCTCATAGGCAAATATTGTCCTGCAATGCTCCTTGGCTGAAAGAAAGCAGCACAGTTACTACACTTGCATAACATGGTTATTCAAGTACATAAAAACATTCAAGAGTGGATAGTGCTCTGATTTCAGACAGAAAGGAGAATCTAGTCAGTTAAAACTGCAAAGGCCCGTCTAAACTTTCCAGTTGCCCTATATATTCCATTTTATGAGCTGCTTTAGGTAAAAAAGTGGTTTCACACTTTGCTTTTTATTGACAGTTCATAAAAAATATATATATTTTATCATCTCAAAACTGATCAAAGCCTCAGGTTTACAATTCTACTGAAATACATGGAAATGTTTAGCAGTGACATCCTTTATCAACATTTACAATTACATAAATTTCAAGCCCAAGTACCAGCTTTGCTGAAACTCTGAAGTTACTCATGGAATGAAATTCCTTGGCTAATCACCTGAAACCAGAACTTATTTGAGTAATTAATTTTGATAGTCACAGACTTCTGCAAAAGCAGGACGAATTAACTCTTTTCCATCTATTTGGTACAGCTCAATAATTAATTATTTTAAAATTGTCAAAAGAATTCTAAYTGACAAAGCTGGAAGACTTTATCTTTAAATAAATTATGTTTTTATTCTAGCCTGGCAAAGGAAAATTGGTGTAAAATGTTAAGATTCTGTARAACAGAAGTCTTAATTGCAAAGCACATTTAGCACCTTTTTAAAGCCCAGAACACTTAGATTTATCAGATAAAAATGTTGGATTTCTACAATGGATAGGTTAAGGAAGAGGAAGCAAATGAGGAGGACCGTAAGGTGTCTGCATAACATATGAGGYCTTTGACACTGGAAACATGCACTGACAAGCAGTTGCCTGAACCGCTCTTTAAAAGATAATCCAACATCTGGAATCATCATCTGGAATCACCGCCTGCAAGTCAACTTGTTAATAACTCACCTTTGCCAATTGGCAGGAAAATAAATCAAAAATAATTGATTTCAATGAAGGAGTTGTACCTTGATTAAACACACACAAAGTYTGGGTTTCTAAATAAGAGGCTGGTCGTTGCCAGCCGCTGTGTTAAATTCCAACAATATATCAAGCTTCAGATACACACACATCAGTAATGTCAGGTACAAGAAATCTATCATTTTCCTGACTTATCTAGCAGTCAAAAGTGCTTCAACACAGACTGAATCTCCTGTAGTCTGCAAAAAATTATAGAACTCTAAGCTGAGAAATGTGACAGAGAAGAATACTTCAATTCAGCTCCCAATATCACCACTCAAATAATAATAAATAAAAATCAACAGCTACACTGCAGATACTTATCAAATTAAGAGATTTTATTCATTAGCCTGGTTTCAAATCAAATCTAATACATATCTCAATTTTCTAAAAATATAAGGGCTTCCTTAGAGCATGAGAAATTTGGTCAGTGTGAACCAGACAATCCCTCGTTTATCTCCAGGCACCGCAGGCACAAAACAGCCCCACAACACACAGAAAACAGTGTCAGAAAGGGAACCTTTCATCCAGTTCTATTTTCTAGCACTTAAACCAAACACTAGATTTAAAAGACCAACACCACTAGCAGCTATTTTAATTACTTCTTGGGACTAATAACAAAGCAGTAGGAATCCTTCTAAAATAAATGAAAGGGGAGGAGGGAGAAAGAGGGATCAAATTGCTTTGGTCTCGGGTACAAGTATAACAAAATATTTGTTTGAAAAGAAAAAGAAAATTCCCAGAAATAGAAGAGACATACACCAAAAAAAGCCACACTAGTCTAAACAGTTTAGAGATATGTTAACATATTGGATACAGATTGCTTTAAACTCTCTCTCAAAACTGATGATATGCATATGTCCTAAGAATAAATTCTATATTAAATTCCATAAATTCTATATTAAAATAAACTACCAAGAAAAAAACAATAACTTATTTTGACGCGTATATGATGCTCATTAATGCTGTACATGTATAAGATGCTCATTAATACATGTATACAAATGGTGTTACATTTCTATGTGAAATAACCCACTTATAAAAAAGAAGTTTAGACATAAGATGCTGTCCACGGACCACACAACAGAAACTGATTTTGATATAGGATTGGCATTCCTGCAGCAACCTTTGAGTTGGCTTAATTAAAGTTTACAAAAAGAAATTTCTCTCCAAGTAAAATTACACAATTCAGCAGTAAAAAGAAGACTTAATRTTTTACAGTGAGCTCCTATTTTACAGGATAGTGATAGAACTGAATTACCTGGAGAAAAGACTTCAGCAAGCTATGAGCACGCAATTAATACAGCATGCAGAATAGCAACAGCACAGTACATCTTGAGAAAAGAAAGACAATTTTATAGCCTAGAGACAGAAATTGAATTAATGGATTATTCCACAGCAGCAGATTTTTAGCATCTCAGCTAAACACTAAAAGCTAAATAGAATGAAAATTGCTTTAAGTACGTCAGCATAACAAATTAATGTAAAGTAGCTGCTGCAATTAAAATTGATGACCTAGTCTCCCTTTCTTCTGGAAAAAGATGCTCACAAAAATCTTTTTGATTCAGTTTCCACAAAAAAAGCAAGCAAAAATTACCTAAGACTATTTTGCATTTGCTGAATTTCAAAACGTAAATTGCACATGTAATAAGTAYAGAGAAAAGTTTAAGATTTTAAGTGAAGAAAATTAAATCTGAYAACTCTATATTGTCAGATATGGACAACAAATTTGACAACTCTATATTCCTCTACAGATTGCTATCAGGTAAYAGATACAAATTCTGATCAGCTCACCTTTTGGTTTACTTTCTGTTTCCAATTTTGTTCCTTCTGATGAGGAGCTCTCCATTTTTGTGATACTAGAAAAATGCATTAGTTTGGTTCCAGGTGGATGATTAGATRGTGGCTATATAAATGAAAGAACAGTATTAATAAAAATTCCTTTTGAATTTTATTTCTAATTAGGATATAGGTTACACTCAGTTTTTCATTAGTTGAGACATGAATTCATCACCTCTAAGTGACACACTAAGAGATTCCCATGAAGTATTGACTTACTCATTACAGCCAGTGCAATACAAGTCAAGCCTATCGATTAAAGAAACACACAGCTTCCAAACTGCAAGTAAACCTCAGGACACTGCCAGATATATCAAGTCTTGCAATCATTTGATTATCTTAAGTAGAGTTACCCTGAGATTGCCTATTAGACCAGAATTAGTTATTCAGGATCTATGCTGAAGATAAGCATGATTAAAGTGAATTATCTTGCACGTGAATAAAGCAGGAATATTCAGCAACCATCAGCTCTGATGACGAGAAAATTGGCTTTTAATTACTCATAGAACTGCGAGAGTATTTAAAGCAGCTCTGCACTCCTAGCAACTTTTACAAAACCCAACCAAAGCAGATTAATAACAACAACTACACATTTCTTCTGTGCTGAAAAGAAAACCATGAAAATATCTCAACCAATATCATGTTTCAGAGTTAACACCCAACAAAAAGAGTAGTTCCAAGTCCCATTTCAGATCTCCTGAGCTGTCAGACAACTTCAGGCACATTATTGACCATTATAGGAGCTACAACCGTCAAATGCCATCTGTGCTTACCTTGACACCCTGACTGCACTACTGGTGTGAAAAATCCCATTGCCTCTGCTCATTTCTTAATTACAGTTATACTTCACAGATCTTCCACTGCCATAAAAAACTAGCTTAACTCTCCTTAAAAACACATCTTGCCTGTGGGCTGGTGTTGGATACCTATGATATACCATAAAGGAAGTCTGTCATTTAGGATGATCTCTGAGAACATATGCAATTTAACTCTCTCCTGAGCTCTACATAAAAGAAGTGCTGAAATAACCCACCTGCGCATTAAATAAATTTAACAGCACACGGAAGAAGTTTTCTACATTCCCCCTTCCAAAACAAGGTGCAGGAGGAAGTTTAGTCAGGCAGACAGAATATAAATAACTTGAACCTGGTTGAGATGCTGGAATTGAATAAAACCTGTCTTACCAAAACTTGCACCAGCACCTACACACATCAGCCCCTGAAATACATAAGCACTCCTCCTACTCCTGTACCAATCTCATCTCCCAGTCTCCAGAGAAGAAATCTCTCTGCTGCACAATTTCCTGAGGGCAACTTTTTCTATTACTGTCTCGAAGACAGAGAAGGCCCCATACATCTAACTAGAAGTCAAATCAAGCACAAACACTATGAATCCATCAGTTCTAGCAAAAGCTTAATGAGAAGCAACTCCGTCTTCCTGGGGGATGATCCTGGCAACATACAAAGCTAACTGGAATGTTAAATGCAAAACGTTCCTGTTTATTTTACTGGGTTTAAGTCCTGTAAAATTGTTTTCTCACTTCATTTCCTGCCCTGTTGATAAACAGTAACGGCTTCCCAGAAAGCCAACTAACACGACTGAGCATCTACATATTTTAGTGCTTACACACACTCAGTAACACGGTTTATAAGGGCTGATCAGACTTCATATTATTTCTACATATCTAGAAAGGATAACTATGCTCCCAAGTTACAGAGCTAGAAAGTAGAAAGCCCTGAAATTTCTGAGCAATCACTGTTAGGACAGGCAGGAAAGCACAAGCTAAATCCTGAGCCCCTGCTGTGAGTGTGCTCGGGATGGCTTGTGATTGTTCCCACAAGCTCCTACTTTGAGGGAAAGGCCTGGAGAGAAGAGAGGAAAACAAACTTGTCTATATTAGCTGCTCACATTGTCTTGGTATAAACTATGCATAAGTTCAAGATAAAGACACAACCATATCTATTTTGCTTCTGAGGAATAAAAGCCCTCTCAAGTCCAGATCAAAAACTACCCTCAAATTACATCCAACTATCATCACATGATCTCCCCTCTTCTCAGCTTTATGTTAGAGATTGGGAACAAAACTGTCTCGTTCCCATTCATTATTCAAAAGACACTGGCCATTAATGCATGACAGGTAATCCCAATGTTCACCAAAATGTAGGAAAAATGTATATTTATACACGTTCTAAAGGTGAAATGCAATTTTAGATCCATAAATATTGCCCGAAATCATAAGAAAACAAAAATAAAACCCTCTGAACAGGTCACAACCACACTACACATCTCTGCACTCGTAGACATCATGAGGAGAAGTGATAAGTACCTTTACCAAGTACTCTGTCATTGCAAAGTTAATAATCCCCAAAACAGCCTAAGGAAATTCTTTCCCTTTGCCAAATAAGGATAAGCGCCAAAACCTACTATATTCACTTATTGCTTATAAGTGAATATAACCCCTTGACTGGGTTATACTGCTATAACCCAGTCTTATTAATGTAGATGTGATGGAGAATTTACTGTTTCTTAACCCACATCTTTGAAATGATAAAGTTATCAGCTTGCTTTCTTTCTTCCCTTCAAAGAGATTTGAGACATCAAGACATTTGAATAGACATTTTAGAATCAACATTAAATTATTATGACAGAAGTTTGAGGTTTGGTTGGTTGGTTTTAAAAGAAAGAGAGTGCTCTTGATTTTCTTTTTAGTCACTCCATGAAGTGATTAATGTACAATTAATGAATACTGACACTTTTTTAAATGATCAATGTATATAATAWCTGCAAGATACGATGCCTCAAAATCCCACACATTTTTAATTATTAAGGAAGTCTCCAAAAAACATGAATCACTACAAACCTTCTCTTGCTTTTTCTCTTCTGCTTCATTACTGGATAACCTGGTCCTAAGTTTCACTGAGCCTTCTTTAAAGATATCTCCGAACCCAACACCTCGGATTTTCTTTGGCTGTGCTATTGATCCAGATCCAGGTTCACTTCCGTTTCCTGGAGAAGCCACAGGCGAGGTAGGACCACTGAAAACAGACTCTGAAACAAACAAACCAGTCTGAATATCTGAGAGTATTTCCTTGCTCTTACAGGAAAAGAGGACACAGCTCTGCATACTCTTCTTGTTCAATTTTTTAAGTACATTAGTGCAGTTCTTGTTACTTGCCTGTTGCTCTAATTTTAGTTCTAAATTTGGTTTTAGCAGCAGAAAGTGTGTCTTGAGGCCCTAAAGAGAAAACTTTCTCTTCCTCAAAATGAACTAACATTCATATCATATATAGTCATTTGATTTTAATCATATAAAGCAAATATTTGGGATTCGTATCTTTTTTTCCCCACATTTAAGGGGTAATAACTGTTCTTCCCCCATAAAAAAGTTCAGACAAGAACTGAATTTAGGTGTCATAAGCTGCTAAGATAACATTTAATTTTTCTATTAGTCCAATCTCTTTATAATAGGAAAAGTACTTGCAAGTGTATTCAGGCAAACTATAAGCAAATTCTCTGTGAAGTGCAAGGTCAAGACAGGTAAGTCTGAAAGTAGATTCAGAATTTTGCAAATCAAGATTCAGTTTTGCAAATCAAACTCAAAATASATACTGTAAAAGCTTTTAGCCTTACCCTAAGTTCTTCCTAGCATACAGATGTATGGGAATTGCAAGAGAGATTTAAGCAGGCCTTTTCCTGCAGCTATAAATTTAAAGGATTTTGATAATACTGTGACACWATGCAGCCTCTTAGCTTCAATTTCTCATCCTTCCTCAGCCATGTTATTCTTCCCTTCCTTTTTAGCTATCTAAAAGCAAACTYGAAATTTCATTGATGAGAAAATTCCCAAAGCTGCAGCTTTGTTTGACACCTCAATGAATGCAGCACTTCTGGTTTCTCAGGAATGAGGAGAGACCCAGCATATACTTGAGATCCTGACTGCAAAGTGCTGAGCACTGAATAAAACCCTCTGGGGGTGTGATAAGGTAGAAGTTGCTTCGTGTTCGTTACTGAYAGAAATTACAATTGCTTTGAATTACTGTTAAGTCTCTCTGATCTCTGCATTCAGGAATTAAGACTGACACATACATTTGGARGCTTATTTTACCAGATACCACTAAACTTAGTGGTCTTGAACCCCAAGAAGATAGCTACTGAACTATTTGGGACTGCTCAGATCAAATAACTATTTTAGCATTATCTAAATGGTCTTCAGAATTTACAAGAAAAAAAAAAAAATCAACTTAAAATTTTTCCCCATCCTTGTTACAAACAAGTAACACAAACCATCTTAGGGTGGTGATAAATGGGGCCGAGTCCAGTTGGAGGCCTGTGGCCAGTGGTGTCCCCCAGGGGTCAGT